AAAAAAAAAAAGAAAAAAAAAAGTTTTTATGTGCACTTAAATTTGGGGACAATTTTATGTATCTGTGTCAAGAATAAGTTTAAGAACATAATTCTTTTGTTGCTGTTCGTTTAAGAAGCACCTTAGTTTGTTTAAGAAGCACCTTATATAGTATAATATATATTTTTTTGAAATTACATTGCTTGTTTATCAGACAATTGAATGTAGTAATTCTGTTCTGGATTTAATTTGACTGGGTTAACATGCAAAAGCCAAGGAAAAATATTTAGTTTTTTTGTATACTTTTCAAGCTACCTTGTCATGTATACAGTCACTGATGCCTAAAGCCTGGTGATTATTCATTTAAATGAAGGTCACATTTCATATCAACTTTTGTATCCACAGTAGACAAAATAGCACTAATCCATATGCCTATTGTTGGATATTGAATGACAGACAATCTTAATGTAGCAAAGATTATGCCTGAAAAGGAAAATTATTCAGGGCAGCTAATTTTGCTTTTACCAAAATATCAGTAGTAATATTTTTGGACAGTAGCTAATGGGTCAGTGGGTTCTTTTTAATGTTTATACTTAGATTTTCTTTTAAAAAAATTAAAATAAAACAAAAAAAATTTCTAGGACTAGATGATGTATACCAGCTAAAGCCAAACAATTATACAGTGGAAGGTTTTACATTATTCATTTAATGTGTTTGTATTCATGTTAAGATACTACTATGTTTGAAATGGGCAGAGAACATCAGATGATTGAAATGTTAGCCCAGGGGTCTCCAGCAACTTTGGAAATCTCTTTGTATTCTTACTTGAAGTGCCACTAATGGACAGCAGATATTTTCCAGCTGATGTTGGTATTGGGTGTAGGAATAGGATAGAAAACTCTTGCCTCTGCTTTCCCCCGCTCTGAGGCAAGTTTAAATTTAAAAGATGTGATTTATCTGGGGGCTCAGGGTATGGTGGGGAAGTGGATTCAGGAATTTGGGGAATGGCAAATACAATAAGAAGAATATTGAAAGTATTTGGAGGCAAATTAATTCTGGCACCTGGGTGTGTACCAGGGTTCAGTAGTCCACTTCTGCCCTGGACACCACAAATAAACTAGCTCCATTTACAGCCATTTCTAAAATGGCAGTTTCAGTTCTAGAGAAGAAAGAACATCAGCAGTGAAGTCCAAGGAATAGCTAGTGGTCTGTGTTTCTTTTAGCCACTGCCTAGCTTGCTGTAATGATTCTGTAATGCCATCAATGCAGCAATTATGAGAGGCTAGGTCATCCAAAGAGAAGACTCTATCAATGTAGGTTGCAAAATCTAACCCCTAAAGGAAGTGCAGTCTTTGATTTGACTTCCCTAATAACCTTACAGTTATGTTGAACCATGCCATATTCCATGCCTTTTGGGGACTGAACAAATAAGGGACTTACTGATAATTTACTTTTGATCACATTAAGGTGGTCTCATCTTGAAATCTTATACGTTGAGATGGCCGTTGATTTAGGCCATTGGCTTAGAGTACTCCCTCCCCTGCATGACACTGATTACAAATCCTTTCCTATTCATACTTTCCAATGATGAGAGGGACTGTGGGTACTGGGAATGATCAGTAACACCATAGTCATGTCTAATATTCACAGGCAGATCTGCTTGGGGAAGCTAGTTGTGTGAAAGGCAAATAGAGTCATACAGTAACTCAAAAGGCAACCATCATTCTCTTTGGTGCAGGTCTTGGGAGGGTGATCTAGATGACTCTGCACCATTGCCAGGTTAATCCCCTGAAAACTTACTCTCAACTGGAGCAAATGAACTGTGGTCCCAAATATCCATCTTTTCAGTAGCGTTATTATGCTCTGTTTCTAACTGCATTTCCTTTCCAATTGAATTAAAGTGTGTTCTCGTTTTTAGTCATTTAAAATTGTTTTCTAAGTAATTGCTGCCTCTATTATGGCACTTCAATTTTGCACTGTCTTTTGAGATTCAAGAAAAATTTCTATTCTTTTTTTTGCATCCAATTGTGCCTGAACTTTTAAAATATGTAAATGCTGCCATGTTCCAAACCCCATCGTCAGTGTGTGTGTTTAGAGTTGTGCAACCTAGAAATAACATATTGTCCCATGAGCAGGTGCCTGAGACACAGACCCCTTTGCATTCACAAAGAGGTCATTGGTTATAGAGACTTGAATTAATAAGTGACATTATGCCGGTTTATGTTCTCTCACAGGTAATAAACAATGCTTTTGTGCACTACATACTCTTCAGTGTAGAGCTCTTGTTTTATGGGAAAAGGCTCAAATGCCAAATTGTGTTTGATGGATTAATATGCCCTTTTGCTGATGCATACTATTACTGACGTGACTCTCAGTTTTGTCGCAGCTTTGCTTTGTTTAATGAAACACACTTGTAAACCTCTTTTGCACTTTGAAAAAGAATCCAGCGGGATGCTCGAGCACCTGTAAACAATTTTCTCAATCTATTTGATGTTCAAATAAAGAATTAAACTAGAGACAAGTTTGTTTTTTGTAAGCTTCACTTCTTGCTAGCAGTTCACCACTGATCACCTAAAATCAAGCTGGTTAAAGGATCAGAGCACACAGTGAGTCTGAATGCTAAGGCCCCTCCTCACCTCACTCCCTCTGCCCAACACTCTCAAGTGTATCAGGAAGTGCGTGGACACCATGGTCAGGCAGATCTGGCCTCAACTCTTGGCTTCACCACTTACCTTACAAGGTTTATGATCATTGGCAATTGATTTTTCAGAGTTTCAGCTACCTTATCAACAATATGATGATAAACAATAACACCTAATTCACGGGATGGTGGTGAGGACTAAGTGAGGTGCTCATTAAACATAGTTGCTGTTTTCTAGTGCCTTCCCTTTGAGGAAGAAGAAGGACGCTTGGGAGTGGTTATTTATGAATGAATGAGTGAATGGATGAATGGGTAATCTGAAACTATAAAATTAAGCTTAAAAACTTCTCCCTCAGGAACATGACACACTGGGGCCTGTTGGGGGGTTGGGGAGCTAAGGGAGGGATAGCAGGGGGTGGGGGATTTGGGGAGGGATAACATTAGGAGAAATACTTAATGTAGATGACTGGGTGATGGATGCAGCAAACCACCATGGCATGTGTATAACTATGTGACAAACCTGCATGTTCTGCACATGTACCCCAGAGCTTAAAGTATAATAATGAAAAATAAAATAAAATAAAATAAAAATAGAAACCTCTCCCTCATTCTGAAGGTAAACCACAAATAATTGGTCCACCACCACGCCAGGTTTCCATTTCAGGGCTCCCTTCCTCTTTTAGAGCGGCCTGTGTGCTTCCTTTACCCATTTCCTCTGATGTCACTGATGAATTGGGAGGGCGTGGGAATAGGACTTACTGAGAGGCAACATAGTATACACAAGGCTCTGCAGCTAGATTACTCTTTGAATCCTCACTCTACCATTTTCTTTCTTTTTTATTTTTTTGGCATCACCTTGGCAAGTTAATTCCCTGGGCCTCAGTTTCTTCACTTGTAAAGAGAGATAACAGTGCACCTGCCTGGAAGGGTTCTTATGAAGACCACATGGTTCGCTCATGGACAGTATGGAAGGAACGTGGCTAACTCTGCTTTCCCCTTACCAGAGTCTTCCAAAAATGCATGTTGGCCTCATCTCTTTATTAGGATGGGTTGAGGGTTTTCACATTGAGTCTCTTGGATTCGAGGAAGCTAATTCATTTTCTTCTGCAAGCATTCCCGTGGCAAGTTCTTCAATCCTTCTTTTCAATGGTTTCCTCGTTCCTAAAATAGAAACAAGAATAGCATTTACCCCCACAGGAGTACTGTGAAGATTCCAAGAGGTGGACACACAAAGTGCCCAGGATAGTACTGCGCGTAGTCAGCGTTCAATCCATGGTAGCTATTTTTAGTGCAATTATTGTTGCCCTGCCTGAGCATCTACATTTAGTAGAATGATGGATATGTTTAGGTTTGCATTTTCCATGTTATTATCATTTTGCCTCCTGTCTTTTTTCTTCCTCTGTTTTTCTTACTGCCTTTCGTTGTTTTAGTGACATTGTGGTACAATAAGAAATGTATATTTGGACTCTGGCCCAAGTTTCTGAGACAACTTCTAAAACTCTTGTAGACAGGTGTGCTAGGAGGCTCTTTTGTTCTAATATTTGGTCTTTGACCCTGGTTTCTAACACAGAGCTCCCAAATCCCTTGGAATTTCCTGGGCAATAGAAACTTCTTTTGTTCTAATGAGGCAGCTCCTGGTGGGCTCCGGATAACCTCAGGATGGGGAATCAGCCATTGAATGAAAGGGTCGGAACTTTCAGCTCTACCCTTTGACTTTTGGAGAGGCTCTGGAGAGGGGATGATGGCTGAATAGATTATCAATGGCCATTGGTGGAAATAATTATGTCTATGTAATGAAGCCTCCATAAAAAACCCAGGAGGACAGTGTTCAGAGAGCTTCTGGATTGGTGAATGCTTGGGGTTGTCTGGAAGATGGAGTGCCTGGAGAGGACACAGAAGCTCCTCGCACCTTCCCGCATGCTCTCTCCACCTCTTCATTTGTCCATCTGTATCTTTTTCGTTATCTTTGATAATAAACTGGTAAATGTAAGTAGGCTCTCCTGTGACTGCAGTAACAAAACTGTCAGTCTTTCTACCTGCCTTATTCTGGTGCTGACCACACGGCGGGAAGGTAAGTGTGGGGGCAGCCCCAGGCAAGAATGCCACCAATCTGCACTGTACTTACCCAAATTTCAGCATTTTTCCAATATAAACATTTCTCAGATTGTTAGACATCTCTGGTCAACTCGCAGAGTGCTGAAATGGTTGTTTCTGTCAATTTTCTTCAAACTTATTGTTTCTTTTGGAGTGAGGATTTGCCAGTACTCTCACTCAGCCATAGCTAGGGGTCTCACCTCTCCACATACCTTGTCCCTCCTTTATTTCCCTTGTCAGAGCACCAAGGAGCAGACTTGTTGACATGTGCCGTGTGTTATTTCTGGTGATCAGCAAGGTTTGGAGAGAATACTTAGCAATCTATTGAGATTTCAAATGTACCCATTGCAGTGTCTCAGTGTAGGGATGCCTGAGTGGGGCCTGATTACATGCTGGGTAAAGATCACATTCTCCAGTGTTGGATAGCCTTAAGCCTTTGGGGACATTTAAACTCAGAATTACCATGGTTAGATTTGCTTCTCTAAAGACATAGAATGTATGCTGTATTAGTCCATTCTCACACTGCTAAAAATAAATACCTGAGACTGGGCAATTTATAAAGAAAAGAGGCTTAACTGGCTCACGGTTCTGCAGGCTGTACAGGAAGGATGGCAGCATCTGCACGGCTTCTGGGGAGGCCTCAGGAAACTTTCAATCATGGTGGAAGGTGAAGGGGAAGCAGGTACTTCTTACTTGGCCGGGAGCAGAAGGCAGAGAGAGGTGGGGAGGCACTACACGCTTTTCAATAACCAGATCTCACGGTAACTCACTCATTCACTATCACAAGGATAGCACCTGAGGGGATGGTGCTAACCCATTCAGGAGAACTCCACCACCAGGATCCGGTCACCTCCCACCTCCAGCTAGGGATTACAATTTGACCTGAGAGTTGATGAGGACGCAGACTCAAACTACATCAGATACCTTGAAGAAATAAATTTTCATCGTTTTCATTATTTGGACTATGCACATTAAGAAGCTAGTTTTAAGTTCACGTTCATGGTGACTTACAATGACAATATTTGTAAATAACACCAGAAGAGCGGAGCTGAGACCATAGAAAAGATATTCATTCAAGACAGAGATACACTTTCTAACACAACTGCCTATAGATAATTTGGGGCGCCTGTTGAAGACAAGGGTGGGGAGAATTTTCTGCAACGGAAGGCACCTCTGCATGGATTTACACCATGAAGCTACAATGTTATTGAAAAGCCTCCCTCAGCAGATGGAATGAGCTTTGATTTTTCTTTCTGCTCTGAGACAGCATACACACACACGTTCATATGCACAAAAGCTAGGTACCAGTTTTACATCACTTTTTTCAGGTAATCCTCAAAGCTACCGTGTAAGGATAAATTATTATATTTTACAGATGAGGAAACTGAAGCCTAAGACAGTTAAGTAACTTTCAAAGGTCAGAAATCTTGTGAATGGCAGACATGAAATTAGTCTTACTGACTTTAAACATGAGTGGTACTTCTTAGACCAGGGTTGAGTTTCCTAGGAATTACTGAGAGTTACTGAGTACATATAACATTTTACTCAAGGAATAGAGTGAATGTTAGTTTGCATGTAATGCCTATCAGTGGTAGACTGGATAAAGAAAATGTGCCATATATGCATCATGGAATACTATGCAGCCATAAAAATGAATGAGATCATGTTTTCTGCAGGAACATGGATGGAGCTGGAAGCCACTATCCTTAGTAAACTAAGGCAGAAACAGAAAATCAAATACTGCCTGTTCTCACTTATAAGTGGGAGATAAATGATGAGAACACAGGGATACATGGAGGGAAATAACACACACTGGGGCCTATTGGGGGGTGGAGGGTGGAAGGAGGGAGACAAACAGGAAAAATAACCAGTGGGTACTAGGCTTAATAGCTGCGTGATAAAATAATCTGCATACAAACCCGCATGACACACATTTACCTATATAACAAACCTGCACATGTACTCCTGAACCGAAAATAAAAGTTTGAAAAAAATCACATTTAAACATGCTTTCACATTTTCTGAGGAGAAGGAAAAACTCATATGAACTTTTAATGCAAAAGGGTTTATTTCATCAAAGAAATATGGCCCCTCGGAAAGCTATGCCACTAACGTCCTGGGTCTTTCTGGTGGGTGGCTGTTGGGTAGAGGAGCTTGAGGAGCACTTCTGCCGTCTTCCTCGGGCCTAGTGGTGCCAGTGCTCTTGGTTTCTGAGGTCATACCAGGCCCTTTTCCCGCCTCTGCTTCCTGCCGAGGAGTGATTTTCCTCTGTACCGTGGCACCAGGAGGAGGTCTATTTCTAGTCGATGACCTGAGACCTTGAAGCCCACAGCGGTGGCATCCTCACCAGCAGCAGGGCCTGTTTCAGTCTCTGACAGTCTCCAGGCCAGGCTCACCCTCCCGCTGTTCCTGGGCCATGAGATGGTCTCCCACAAGACCATCTCATGGCCCAGGAAGTTACCACAGCCCACAGTGAAGGCACTTGGCATCTATGTAAAGCTGACAAACTAGGAACTGTTATCCTCACTACATGAACGTGGAAAAAGATAAAACTAGAGAAAGGAAGCCTTTGGGCAAACATTTGAAAAAGTGATTTCAAAAGTGGGTGGGCTGACCTCAGTGGCCAGGCCAGGCTGGGTGCCCAGGACACACTCCAAAGTGGCAGACGCTAGACCCTTTGCCAAGAGCCAGTCACCCCAAGGGTTGCAGGACAGGCAGCTCTGGGAGCGACTTCCTAGACTCGGCACACATTTAGACCTTTCTGCAGTCCTGTAATCTGCCATCAGCTGCCTTGTCATTGAGAAGTCAGTAATTTTGGGAAAGGCCAGTGAAAGATTTGTGAGCTGGTTAACATGTTCACAAGCCGATTAAATTCTCAAGTTTACCCTGACTCAATGGAGTTTAAGCTGTAAAGATTCCTATTTCCAGATTTCCAACCAGAAAGAAAATGTTTCAATATCCAGGGCCCCAGACCACAGGCTGGAGGGGAGGAGAGAAGGGTGGAGAGAGGGTGCAGGCAGCAGCAGGAACCATGTCCTTGTCTCGGTCCCTCAAGGATGCCAGGTACAGACCAGTTTTGGGGCTCAACCCCAGTGAGGGAAGTATTTCCTTCAAATTGGAGGGAAGGGCTGACGGTGCCAAAATTGGAGCTGCCAGATGGTTCTCTAAGAACAGATTACAAACTAGAGTAAACACTCCATCAATTCATCTTTGAATTTATTACTAAATGTTTTTAAACACCATTTAACAATCCCTATAATCTAATCCATTCCCGAATGCTAAAGAAACGTGTATAAAGAAAAACACTAAGTGGGTTTATAAAAAGACTGGAGGTTTGGATGGAAAAGCTTAATTACTTGGCAACGTTGGTACCCACAGGTGTTTGCCCAGCATCACAGGAACCTGGGTCCAGGCAGCAGAAAGACCTGAACCCAAAAAGAACAGAACGCAAGGCGGCTCCAGGCTTCTTTCTATGGAAAAGGCACCTAAGCTTTGATCTAGGTTTAAAAAACAACGGAAAGGTAATGTGAGAGAGCTTGAAACGATACGGAGATTTTTTCATCTATTTTCTGTGATTGCTTAGAAGCAGAAGGAATGCCATTTCAAATTTCCTGTATCTCACTTCCAGTCACGTGTCCCCAACTAGTGAGTTCCTCCTTTCCCCAGCTCCTCTGCGACACTGGAGATTCAAGATCTCAGCAGCTACCAGGGCTATTTAAGCCTTTGGAGTACTACAAAGGCCACCAAAGGAAGAAAGCGTTTTACGATGCTCCCAAGATCCCATCAAGCCAATCAAAAGGATTCAAAACCATGAATAAGCAAGCTTTATTACCAGCCAAACTATGTCACCATCCTGGTGCCACATTTCCCATTGCCACCAAGCTCTGGGAAGCCACATGTGCACTCTCCTTGCCCGAGGAATCTACCCAGCCCCAGAAAGCACCTTTGCAGAGGGGCCAGCTACGGGCATTCCTGATGTCAGCACCAGCAGCTGAGGGCAGAGCCAGGCCTCCTGACCTGGCAGGCACCCCAACCAGGAAACCAACAAGGGAATCTGGAAGCAGCCAAGGGATTTACAGAAACTTCTGAGTCCACTGCAAAAGAACACGCCATTTCCATGCCAAAGACAAACGCGAAGACCCTGTTCCCAAGACCCCCCAACAGAATCCAAGAAAAAACAAAAAGGAAAATCAAAATGAAAGAATTCCACATGGATATCATGAATGTGTTTTCAGGGAAGAACCCCAAATGGCAATCAGATCGAGGTGGGGCGAGTTGATCAAGTGCTGAGCTGACCCAGAGCGGATGTCCATTCTGAGAAATGTTTCAGGAGAAAGAAGCAAAAAAGGCGGGGGCGGGGGGAGGGGAGCGCTGCCTGTCCAGCCCACCACCAGTGCTGTGTGTCTTGCGCGCTCTACCACAGGTCAGCAAACTTCTTCTGTACAGGGCCAAAGAGTATTAGGCATTTTTTGTTTGCCTCTCTTTGCTTCACAATTCTTTGAAAATATAAAACCCATTTATAAGCTCAAGGGCTTATAAAAACAGGCAGGCAGGGACTGTAGTTCACTGACCTTTGTCAGCCACCATTAAGCCACAGGTCCCCTCCTGGTGAAGGGAGTAAGAGTCCCCAAAGATGATCCTCTGGGGCAGGGAGAGGTTGGGGAGGCACAGCTGGAAGGCCTGGGAAACGCATTCACCTGGGAGGGACTGTTTCCATTCCCACTGGCTGAGTCCTCAGCTACTGTTGAGAGTCCAAGACCCCCAACAGAATCCAAAAAAAAACCAACCGAAAAGGGAAAATCAAAATGAAAGAAAAAATTCCACATGGATGTCATGAACATGTTTTCAGGGAAGAACCCCAAATGGCAGTCAGATCAAGGTGCGGTGAGTTGATCAAGTGCTGAGCTGACCCAGAGGGGATGTCCATTCCGAGAACTGTTTCAGGAGGAAGAAGAGGTCTGCCCCACAACATTGTGCTGGGAAGTAAGAACCGTGCTGTATGCTGATACATTTGTGAAGAGGGAAGAGCTCATGTTATGTGTGTGTGTGTTTTTAGCCACAATTAATTTTAAGAGATTTTTTTCCTCCTAAAAAAGGTTAAAAACAAGTATGGGAAGATCTGGTAAATAATTCCCAGTAACGATTTCCAAAACCAACTAGAGGAAAGAGTAAAATAGTGAAACTGCCCCTCAGTACGTGCCTTGTGCTACTTCAACACATCCTATACGTTAATGTGTTCACCTCATAACAACCCCAGGCAGGAGGTACTATTATGATCTCATTTTACAGGGGAAGAAACTGAGGAATAGAAAGTTTAAGTAAGTTGCTCAAGTTATACAGCTAGGAAGTGTCTGGGCTAGGAACTGAGCCAAGGTATTTTTGGCTCCAGAGTCTATGTTATGGAAAGAGCCTGTCTAAGATTTGGATGGAAGGGACTTCATACCTGTCCACATCATTAGCTCCCCTATTAGTTTTGCCGCTGTGATTAGCAAATGTCATAGGGAAGGCGGGGGAGGGGAGGAACTGAGCCTCATCCCCAAGCCAGGCTTTGGTGGGGAGAATCCTGTGCGAAGCTGTTGAACAGGAACATATTTCGAGGGAGAAGGAAAGCAGGTTGACTCTCTGGCGGCTGCATCAGGAAAGAAAGGTACAACTAGAGAAGCTGCCTATGACTTTCAAGTCACTGTCCCTCCCAGCCCTATCATTTCTGGTGACCAGGCTGTGTCTCAAGAACCAATTTCACCTGTGAGCAAAGTGACTTCTGGAGATAGGTGGTAGTTTAGGAAGTTGGGGGTTTTTGTGAACAAATAGGTCTTATTTGGGCATCTCTCCCAGGAAAGCTCATCTCCCAGGATTCACACATCTCCCAGTCAGGAAACCTCCTTACCTCAAAGCTCTTATGCCATGAAACCAACCATACATTCAAGATAAACAACTAGGGCAGAATCATCCATTAGAATTTGGCCACTTTGAATAAATGACCTGTTAACTTTATTTGGGGTATACCTAGAAAATTTTAATTAAAAAGCAAGTCAAATGTTGTTTCCTCATATAAGAGCTGAAGTACTTTTCTTTTGTCTTTTAAAATTATCACTACTCTAATAGCCTTATATTTCATATAAGTCTCTCCAAACTTTTTTTTTTTTTTTTTTGAGACGGAGTTTCATTCTTGTTGCCCAGGCTGGAGTGCAATGGCTCGATCTCAGCTCACCACAACCTCCACCTCCCAGGTTCAAGCAATTCTCCTGCCTCAGCCTTCTGAGTAGCTGGGATTACAGGCATGCCCCACCACACCTGGCTAATTTTGTAATTTGAGTAGAGACGGGGTTTCTCCATGTTAGTCAGGCTGGTCTCAAACTCCTGACCTCAGGTGATTCGAACGCCTTAGCCTCCCAAAGTGCTGGGATTACAGGTGTGAACTACCATGCCTGGCAAACTTTTACCTTGCCTTAGGCAATTACTATATACACATGAGTTTTTCCCCACAAAATGGAATCATATTATTCTATAGCTTTTTTTAATGTAACAATATGTAGTGGGTATTTTCCCTAATCAATACATACAGATTGATTTCATTTTATAAAAATAGTTGCATCATACTAAATACTAGGTATGTGCTATAATTAATTCAACAATCCTCCTGCTTATAAAAATCTAGGTTGCTGAAAAATTATAACAACAGGAGGCCCCTCTGTCTTCTTCCTGATTGGTTTTGGGACACTTATCTACTCATTTGGAGAATGACAAAGTAGTTCCTTACTTCATACTAATGACAAAAATGATTCCAGATAGATCATAGACCTAGTAGAAGAAAATGCAAGCAAACTTTTGTATAATCTTAAAAAAAGGCCTTCTTAATGTAGACTAACCAGAATCCACCAAGGAAAAAGAACCTGCCATGCTTGATGACACAAAATTTAAAACTTTCTGCGTGACTAAAGGAACTGTATGAAGTCAGGACACATAATCATTGAAAATAATATACAAATGTAAAAGAAAAACAGAGGCTGAAACAGACTTCACAGAAGAGGCAATACAAATGGAACAATTATATAAACTAGCCATGGAAATGCGAATTTTAAAAACAATGTTTTTACTGTTGCTCTCAATTGGGCAATATTTTTAGAAAACTGATAACATCTAGTCCAGGCTTTCCCAACTGCCTGCACCTGGGAATTGCCTGGGGAGCTTCCAGCTTACCAGCTACCAATTTAATTGGTTTGGGGTATGGCCTGGGGTTCTACATTTTTAAAAGTTCCCTGAGAGAGTCTAACGTGCAGAGTTTGAACATTAATAATTTGGGAATAAGTCCCGAAATTTGGAAACCACTACTGTGGCTTAAATTAAAGGAGGATATGAGGAAAAGGAGGTTTTCATCACCAGTGTGGGTGGGGGTGAAAATCATCACAACTTTTTTAGAAAGCAAACTGGCAGAATTTATTAAAAGTTAGAATGCACATACCTTTTGATCCAGTAATTCCACTTTGAACAATACATCTTGGAGGAATAAAAGCAGCACTATCAAAAGATACACATGCATATACATGTAAGAGTGTCCACTGCAGCCCTGATTCATAACAAACCCCTGGAAGAAAACAGCAGTTGAAAAAGTGATACTGAGATCTCCAATGCAGTGAGGATGATGGCATAGGAACCAGTATGTCTGTGGGACATCGTTAAGTGAAAAATTCAAGTTGCAGAATAAAAAGAATAGATCCGATTTTTAAAAATGTATACGTTATTTGAATAAGAAAGTCAGAAGGCATAGGAAGATATAATAAAAGTGTGAGATGATGTAGAGAGAGATCAGTAACTTTAGTTTTCTTGGAAAAACAAGAGAATCTTTTGTAATGAAAATAATGGATTTTTTTTAAAAACAATTAGCCTTTAAAATAGACAATACACAGGGAGAAAGAAATGAGGCTTGTCCTAAGAGGTATTAAAGCTTATAATGAAGTAATAAATGTACTATACTGTTATATTATTAGTTATAATACATATATATTTGTATTATTTATATCTTTTGTTTTTACATTATACAAATATATACATCATTATAATAAATTATACTACGTACTGCTGTAAATAAAACAGCAATGGCCACGTAGAGCTAACCATTGACTAGAGTTCAGAATAAAAATCCAGACTGATATGGAAACCAGTTATTTGGTGAAGCTGATATAGTATGAGTTAGTGGAGGAGGATGGGGAAACTTGCTGTTACTGCTTGCCATCGTGACCAACTGGAGAGAATTAAAGGACCCAAAGATGGAGAAGTCCAGTGCAGGTGGTAGCCTGGAAGCCCAGCCCTAGGGCTGAATGTGGTGCATCCTTACCAGGTTTCCAGATAATATTGATTCTTTGAGCCACAGGTAAGCCAAACCCGCTTTAAAAGCCATGGCCAATTCCATCTCTATGGTGTTCAGTCAACCTGCAAATCCCACAAGGAGGTGTGGGGCAAGGGGTGGACATGGGCTGTGCTGGGTTCCTGCCAATAAATGGGGTTTGGGGTTAGCTGCCTGAAATTGCTGCCGATGTTGGCAGCTGCTTGGCAGCTTTGCTTTCTGAGCCCAACAACAGCTTCAAGAATGTGTCCAGCAGGATTTAGGCCTGAGCCGGGAACACACATCTGTGAGGCCCTGATGTGAATATTAAGCAGGGAGATGGGGATTTCTTCTCGATCTCCTGTGGCATCAAATTCGGTCATCTGTGGCACTGCTTACACAGGACCTTCTTCTCCTGACATAATTGTGGTTTTCAAATTCAGTTATGTTCCCACTCTTGTATTAGGTAACAGGTTAAACAAATTCATGAGCCTGATTTATTTTTCTGTGACCTTCCTATTTTAGCTAGATTATATCCAAGTCCCAACCGGTTTCCTCAGCTCCCCAGATGAAATGTTCTCACTGTTCAGCTTGTGTTACAGCACATCACCCCACTTCTCATTAATCATTCCCACTGTCCAGCCCCCTTAGCTTCCTTTGGCTGCTTGGCAGAGGTTACAGGAAGTTCTCCTGATTTGCCTTGTTTGTAAACTTACTCATCTGAGTGAGGGCCCTCTCCCAAATTTAGGCCTCTCCATGATAGCCTCTAATGGATTCCTGGTGCATATTTTAAAACTTCAAGGGAGAGGTTAGTGAGAAGCTTGGAATTGACGAATAAAAGTTCTTCCTGGCCAGGCACGGTGGCTCACACCTGTAATCCTGGCACTTTGGGAGGCCAAGGCGGGTGGATCATCTGAGATCAGGAGTTTGAGACCAGCCTGGCCAACATGGCAACACCCTGTCTTTACTAAAAATACAAAAATTATCTGGGTGTGGTGGCGGGAGCCTGTAATTTCAGCCACTTGGGAGGCTGAGGCAGGAGAACTGCTGGAACCCAGGAGGTGGAGGTTGCAGTGAGCTGAGATCATGCCATTGCACTCCAGCCCGGGTCGACAACAGGGAGACTCCATCTCAAAAAAAAAAAAAAAAAAAAAAAAAAAAAATTCCTACCTTTTCAGTTTCATTATCTTTGGGTTACTTCAGATATGACAATCAGCCACAATTACTCCAGTGTACTATTAAATCTAAAATTGAGATGACCACACTCAGTAAAATACCTCTCATTGCCTGCATTAACTTCTCAGTGTTACACCTAAGTGGAAAATTGCCTCCGTGCTTGTAAACCCCTTCTCCTGTCTCCATTTCCACAGATGGATATTCACACTCTTCAAAAACACATCCCACTGTAATATAAACTGAGTGACCTAGAAGCTAAAAGCAGAGGACATTTGCTCAAGAAAATAGAGATCTAACAACTTTAATCTCCCTTCCTTCCCCTAAATTAGATATTGTTTCTATTGAATTGCCTTCTAGTGTTCTCATTTGATGTATTCATCCTATCTCAGGATGTAACCAGTGCTGGGAAATACGAATTCTTCTCTATGTCAAAGGCCCAGTGGTGACTGCTTTTAATGAGGCATTAAACAAGAACCAACCCAAATCCCTATCGATGATAGACTGGATAAAAAAAAAAATGTGGCACATATGCACCATGGAATACTATGCAGCCATAAAAAAGAAGGAGTTCTTGTCCTTTGCAGGGATATGGATGAAGCTGGAAATCCTGAGCAAACTAACACAGGAACAGAAAGCCAAACACCACATGTTCTCACTAGCAAGTGGGAGTTGAACAATGATAACATATGGACAGAGGGAGGGGAACATCACACACTGGGGCTTCTCAGGGGTGTTGGGGACAAGGCAAGGGAAAGCATTAGGACAAATACCTACTGCATGTGGGGCTTAAAACCTAGATAGATGATGGGTTGATAGGTGCAGCAAACCACCAGGGCATATGTATGCCTATGTAACAAACCTGCAAGTTCAGCACATGTATCCCAGAACTTAAAGTAAAATAAAAAATAAAAATAAAACAAACAAACAAAGGAACAAAAAAGTCACAAGAACTTCTGAGGTACTCCCCGAGAGGACTTCCCAAGGGAACTTGGAGCAGTTCCTGCCATATAGTGGGCATTCAATGAACTACTTGAGAGATTAGTGGCTGCTGTTCTCCCCAAGCACTTCCGGATTTACTTGGTACGCACCCAGGATATTTTATTTTCTGCACAATCCCCTATGGTTGGTTGGCAATGGTACTGGTGAATTGGTTGCACCGAACCAGGAATCCATCCACTGGGCTGCTTTCAGGCAGGCCAGACCAGCCCTCGGAGGCCCGACTTTTCTGGCCACAATCAATCAGCTTTCATAAATCGTCTCTCTCCACTATTTTTTGCTTTATGATCTCTTATGTGGCTTGTCAATTAAGATTTGTAGCTATAATTTCTTAAGAGTTGGCCCCAGGGTGTAGGTTATTAATCAGTCTACCCCAACCTGCATTTTTTATAGTGAATTTCAGGCCTCAGCATGCTGAATTTCCCATCTGGGCCTTCTGAAGACTTCTCACTTCCTACAAAAACAAGGGAAGCTATTGTGGGTCCATGTTCCAGTAGGGACATTCCTGCTCCTCAGCCATCATTTCCCAAAAACCCTTTCATTTCTCCCGGGATTTCTTATGAAGTGACTACTTTTAGTTTCTAATCCCTTATTTTTCTATTTTAGTTTTATTGGACTCTTTGTTCACTTTTCTAACATTTCCCATTTGCTTGTGCAAATCTCCTTACCATCGTGTTATTATTAACCCTTCCCTTACCATTCTTTGTGGTCAGTGGATGGTCTCTTTATGCCCTCCTCACCCAGCACTCACTTGGGACATCATGCCCTCTCTCCAGGCCACAGCAGGGCTCCCGACACTCCTCACTGCAGCCATCAGTGTCCTTTTACCTCCTTACTCTTCTTTAAGCCATCCCCCATCCCTTCCATGAAGACTTCTCTCTCTGTCCATGAAGCCTTCTCTCTCTGTTGCCAGAGCAGCCACTGGTTGAGGGTGAGGATGCTCATGGCCCCATCCCCCTGTCTCTCCATCATCTGTGTCTGGTGTGGCCCTTGCTAAACTGGCCAGTCGGTCATGCATGGAAGAGCCATGGCCTCATGGTTCAATGTTTGCACTCACTGGGGCTCCCTACTTCTTTTTCGTTCCAAGGTTCTGTTGTTTAAGTCTTCAAAAAATATAATGGAAATGGACATTCCACACCCTTTTGGAGGTTTCACAGGGTTTTTAGAAAGGCACAAATGGTATTGTACTCTAAGATTTTTCTTAATTGAAACCAAATGTTTTTCTCGGCAACATTAACCAGTTGATTCTTCAGTGATGGGAGATGCCAAGGAAGTCAGTTGATGATGATGTGGAGAAGAAATGCCTCTGAAATCTCTTTGCACTTCCTTTTCCATGATGACACTCTCATTGTGTGGGATTTCCATAGCCCTTGAAGGGCTAAATTGCTCGTGGGAGGACTTCTCCTTCCAGGTATTCGGAGGAGTGACAGGGAAGTGAGGGAGGAGTGACAGGGAAGTGAGGGAAGAGTGAGGCCTGAAGAGTAAGTACCCCATCTCAGATGAGGGTGCAGGGCACCCTTCAACTCCAGTGGCCACCACTGCTCACAGCCCCTCCAGAAGCAGGAAGATGGGACACTTTAAGCACAAGGTGGTCTTCTCTATAAAATAACAATGGGGTGGGGGAATTCCATCGTGTTCCTTGTGGGAGATTACATGGACCCTAAGATAGGAATAACCTGACGGCAAGAAGCAGAGTAGTAGAGAGAAGTCTTAAATACAGTGTGAAAGTGATCAGGAAGTTTTTCAAGAAGGAGGTGGCTTGTGAGCAGAGTCCGGTGAGGCAGGCAAGGAGGAATGAAGTTAAGGGAGTATAGGGGCAGTGCTTTTCAGCATTTAGCAGGAATAAAGTCACCTCAGGCATCTGTTTAAAAAATGCAGGCTGCCAGGCCCTATCCCAGAGATTGAATTAGGAGGTCTGAAGCAAGCCCAGGATTTGGAAACTTTAGTAAGCCCCTGGAACCCTAGCCGAGATGGACTCAGACTACCTGCATTTTGGAAGCCATAGAAGGCAGTTTCAGGCAAGGTGAAGGACCTCAGTTTGGTTTAAATACTCAACTTAGAGCGGGATTTGTAGACTTAAATACCTCTGGGGGCTAGGGTGATACCGGCCTTGAGAGAAGTTGGAGGTTTACAAGTACAAATAGGAGATACTCTCTCTCTCTCCCAATTCTGAAAGGGACAGCGGCCAACAAGCTCTGGCAATTACTGCCATGCAGGAATATGTGCTCCAGACTAGGGTCCCAGAGCTGTCTATGGGAAGAGAAGCCAGAGACTTGAGTTTTCAATGCCCCAGAAATTACTAAATGATAGATTAAAATGCCATGAGCATCAAATAATTCCATGAGGGCCACTATAGTAGGCAAGTTCAGAAGGGCAAAATAAAAATCTCATTGCATTTGAAAATGAAAATTGTATTTTATCTGGTAGACAATGAACAACAGAAGGCTTTGCAGCAAAGAAGGGATCTGAACAGAAGCATGCTTTAAGAAGATTTCTGTGGCTGTCGTCTGCTTGCAATGGAATGGAGAAGGGAACTCAGGCAGCAGCTCCTAAGAAGCCCCTCCAAATGTACAAATGTGTAAAAGGAATGGAGAGGAGAGGATGAAAGGTTTCCAGAAGCAAGAATTCAGGAGATCTGATGGACTATGGAAGGAAGAGAGAAGAAGGAATCACCTAGGGTCTTCTATGTCTAAATTCATACTGCCTCTTGCCATCCTTTTCCTTTAATGGATACTTATATTCCAGCTTCATTCATTGCACAAAATATAATCACATGGGTTGCATTCTGATCAGTGCCTGCTTAATAATGATACTTAGGAGTTATTTATTTAGGAAAAAAAGCACAGACCAAATATTTTATAATATCTATAATAAATGCAAAGAAATCAATACAAATAAAACTTGGCTTTAGCAAACTGTACATTCATAAATATCTTTGTTTTTACTATAACATTCAACTTTTTTCACATAAAGCCTTCCATGATCTTATTTATTACATCTAGTTTTTCTTTATACCTCTAAAAAAAGTGCCTTTTAGATTTACAGCTTGTGCTTCTAAAGCAAAGGTTAAAACATCATGCCCCAAAGAAAAACAAGGTAAAAAGGAATCTGCCGTATAAGCTCTTAAAAATTGTATGTTACAAGGTTCTAAAATCTCTTCAGCACTGGTCGGTTGGGAGATTGTACGACACTGACATGGAGCTTGGGAGGGTTGTTTATCTGATGGTTAGAGCAGCACCACGGGAACGCTGCCCAGATGGTCTACTGAAGTCCTTGGCTATGCATAGAAAGAGCCAAGGGCTGAGAATTCACGAGTCCAGGGACCTCTGGAGGTCCTTACTCACTCTCTTTAGTGCTAAGGTTCAGAGTCTCAAACCAGATTTCTTCCAAAGCTTCTTGTCATCTGTTTGCTCTCCTGTCACTGTTTATCCTCCACCTCCGAAGCCATGATTTCACACGTGTGATCTGGAGGAGAGCTAAAGCTGCTACACCAAGGGCTTTTGGCAAGATCGAGGTCCTCTTGTTGATAGTTTGGGATTGCTTATGACTCGATCCTCCTTATGCTGCCAGTACTTCTGCAGATGGCATCTGCTTAGTTCAGAGTGGGGGAGGGCCATTCGTGTATCTGAGCATGGGGTGGAATGACCGGGCAAAGTTGTTAGAGAGGGCACAGCTGTAGTCTTCCTCTGACATGGGTACAAGGCAGGCAAGCCCGATGAGGAGCAGCAGGAGAAGCTGAAGGGGAAGAGCTGCTCGGAGGACTCTGAACAGGAA